ATTATCAGGCTAAAAGTAAACGGTGCAGGTGATAAAATATTCGAAATACGAGATGAATGAAGAAGCGTGATTAAATGTATAATTCTATCAATGATTCCAAGAAACACATTGAACAAATTAAGCAAAAAAGTTACAAAAAGCTACGAAGCAAAGCTCTTATAATTAGAATAAAATACGATCGTGTTTTTGTAGGGAATATCGTATTCAGAACTGTACATATTCCTCTTTTATACTTCTTTTTACGTGAAAATATATCTTGTAAGCAGCGCGCAGACACAACATTTACCTTTCCTCATGGCAAAATCTAAGATATCTTTTAGTTCCATCCAGTCCACTTCCAAATCAGGACCAGCGAGTTTCTTGAAGAATTCTCGAACTTTCTCGGTATTGCGGTCTTCTTCGGGTTCATCGGGAACCTAAAAATACAGAAAGAAATCTTTCGTAATAAAGCCTAAAAACAATTATAATCTGTGACATGAAATTTGAAATTATTTTACTTCGTAATTATTTTTAAATTAGAATATTTAAATATGATTCAAAATATTTAGCTAATTTTTAAATATTTTAAGTACCTATGTAAAATTTATGCATACAATACGAGGCATTAAAAACAATAGCGGCATTCTTTCGAAGATGCAAAAAGTCTGTAAAGCACAGCTGTATTCAAAATATGAATGTAATGAACACATTCTATTTTCTCTTCAAATTATTTCTACCCCTTATTGATTGTAACTGATATAAGAACGAATTTAATCAATTTTTGCCATGTATATTCATTATGTACTCATTTATATTGTGTTCTACATGTATTTTCGTGCATGATCTTCAGATTAAAACAGTCGTATTAGTAAGAAATGGAATCGAGACCATTTCCTTTTACTTCTTTCACACAAAGCATATATCGTGTAGCTTTCTGTTGCTTCAACGTACAAGCAGTGCGTTTTACTTACGTTATCTCCGTTTTGATCCTCCTTACCGCCTGCAGGATTAATTATCTAAAAGCCAAGCGACATAAACGTGCGGATCGTTAGTGACCAGTTACCATTGTGAACAGCGACATTCTAAATCTTCATGTGATTGATAATCAATTTATCAGACAGCACGACAGATATCAAATTTTACAAGCATTAGGACACAAGACTCAATTAATCTTTGTGCAATTTAGCATAAATCAATTTAATGCATTACTAATCTGTTATTACACCCTTTTGACGATGCATATATTTAACAAGCTGTGTTTTATTGCGTGAATTATTGTGGGTGTCTTGTAAGTTGTGTGAAATGAGATAATATATTTGTTAGGATATGAGTAATTCTAAACAGCATTAGTGTGAGCTGACAGTCCAATATTTGAGAACTTTGTGCACAATCATTCCTCCCCAATTCCATTTTGAAGACTGAATACATTTTTAAATATATGATTTGAAAGTTTTATAGCGATCATCTTTCAACTTGTTATTGCAATAAACAAAATAATTTGTATTGCAATTTGTATTGGTTAATCTATCATTCATTCAAAAATTCACAACTCTTACCCTATCATCGACGTCTCCAATACCGACTTCTTCATCGTTTTCTCTGTAAAAGAACGAAAACGCTTGAATAAAAGTTCTCCAATGTCATGATACATATATCGCAACAGAACTTACTCCATATTGTTCTTGTTCTCAGAGAAGATTCTCAGCAAGAATTCACCCTCTTCGTTCGGATCAAAAGTACTCGGAACTATGCAATAAACACCCGGGGGTAATTTGAAACGGCACGTGACCTCCCGTAAATTTATAAATGCCGGTGAACGTCCAACAGACGCGTTGTACTTGAAAAAGTTAATGTCTAGTGGTTTCGGCAGTCTCTCTGGATACTCCAACTGTCGATAAAAAATGAATTTATTAATGGAAAATTTCACATTTTTAGGTTTTCTTTCTTCTAACGTTGATTACTTGGAATCGTATGTTCCTCATATGACATTTTATCCATAATATAATATATTACCTATACTTTCTAGTACGGAAATTATGCATGTAATAAAAAATATAATTTATAAATAGTAGTGAAATTTTATCTTCTTCAAAGAAAAATACCCAAACCCTTAGATAAATCGAATTATCACTCAATTGTATTGTATTATTGAAAATCATATCAGGATCAATCAATTTCGCATACATGGTATATCGCGAATCCGATAGTGAGGCAGTCGGCACCCATCCTTCTTTGCGCCCTCCTGTTCTTCTGCATCAGAGCGATGATTACGGTACACTTGTCATCGTCCTCATCTGGACACTCCAACGTGATACGATACTGCGGATTGTGCCAGAAGGTCTCTGCGAGATACGTATTTTTCGTTTAATTTCGCTTCTACGAAGTTTGACAGTTCGATAAGTATTTGCATATCTCACCTAAAAAGTTTCTGCAACCACCCGCTGTCACTCCGCGCACCCACTCTCCTTCGAACACGCTCATCTCCCAGCGTTTCTTCCCGGCGCTGATATCGTCCGTCGTTAAGGAGTCGGGATTCAAGTTGCATATCTCGAGCTGAGTGAAGTGGCGGGTGAAGTCGTGGAACGACATCCAAAATTCGCCGTCCATGTCGAAGGTCAGGCCGAGTTCCTCCTTCTCGTGATCGGGGATGAATCTCCATTCCGGTGATCTGTCGGCGGACGACGGAAGCATGAAGGTTTGGAAGCGTAATCGACGAAGCGCGAAGGGAGAGTACTCACTGATCGCTCCAAGGCCCATTCCATTCCGCCTCGTTTCCCCAAGGATTCCGAAGCCTTAATAGAGGTATCGTACCGTACCGATTCGGCATGTGAATCTCCACGTTCTTCACTTGGGTAATGCTGTACGCATGACCGCGTATCAATCCTTGAGGCGTTTCAGCCTCCACTACGTTGGGATCGGGCTAAAAGGGACGGGGGATCAAAGTAATAAAATGGCCTGAAGCCTGCGAGAAGAATAAGTATCATAAATGTTAATTCACCTCGATGGAGCAACCCAGTAATGAGTTTCTCTCAAAGGCTTTTAACAGTATGTTGAACAGGTTTGGCGGCGTTTGGTCCATCTGATACATTTCCGTTACTCCACCGGTGAAGTCTTCCATGGCCTCGCAGGTTGAGCCGCCCTTCAACGCCTCGTAGGAGCCGTGAAGTTTCGCGTATGCCTTCTCGAGAAGGGCGCTCCAGAACTCATTATTCTCGGCCGAATGCAGATATACCAATTCCCCGCGACAGGTAGGCAATCGATCGTCGATCACCACGTCGACCCATCTACCGTACTGCCAAAACCTGATGCGTATACATATCTTATGTAAATGAGCTCTCTTTCCAAGCTAGTAATATCTCGTAATTTAACAGAAATATTGTCGCGGAATTCAGATAAAGTATAATATATTCGTGACATTCTACTTAATAATTTTTTAACGAAACTGCCAAATATGCAGACATACGTAATTCATAGATATAGACAATCCGGTTTACATGATAATCAGTATAAGATATAATTCGCATGCAAATTGTATTGTTTTTTGCCACGTCGGAAAAGCGATTGTTAGCGAAACTGGACTAGCGTCGAACCTGAAGTGGAAGATTCCAGCGTAATTTTCCTCGAAGCTCTGATCTTCTGGCATCACTTGAAAGAACAGATTCTGATGCATGGTCAGATTCGCCACGGCGGCCAGCAACCAGCAATCACCCAGCTCTCCCTGCTGGACGTCGAATCTCGAGAAGCCCTCCACGAAGAGCTGAGGATCGTCCGCGATTTCCTGCGAAGTACAGATGCATTGTAGGTCGTTTGAGAGCCCACCCTCCTCACGTGCTCGATTTGTAAATTATTCTCGAACGGACGCTAATAAAACTCGGTATAACTCGGGAGATTTCTGACCATCGGTCGCTTCCATTCTATGTATCTGTCCGGTCTGCGGGAGAAGTATAGCGACGAGTCGTTGGCCGGGAATTCGGGATCCTCGAAGAGCCTTCCCGCCGCCAGGCATTCTCGTCTCAGGGTGTTGAAGTCCTGGACCTCCCCCCGTGGTCTGAAGCCGGACCCCTTCTCCCCTAACTGCGAACATGCGGTTTGTGCGTCAGGTCGCGGCGGGGGTGTACGAATCAAATTTTTTTTTTTTTTAAGAGGTAAAAAGAAAGGAAAAGAAAATCGCGATCTAAAGATTTTCGACGGACGGCCCTACGTTATAGCAGGATTTTCCGATGAAATTTTTCGTCGTTCGTATCGCTTTATCGTCGCACGGTTTTTTACGTTCCCACGTTGCGGAATTTTCGTCGCGAGACTTGCTCGGTGAGCTCGCTACCGAATTTTTGGCAGCAAACTCGCGTTTGGCCGAGTGAAGGACGTTATTGTTCCTGCCGATTGTTCTGTCGTCCGTGAATATCGCGGCCTCGACACTGGATCCAATTTTCAGAACCGCGAGACCCTCTTGCATGTAATTGGAGTAGCGATAATTGGCGTATTTGCTACGCCGTAGATCCATCGCGGTAAAGTGACGAGGTGAAGTGGATATCACTTTGTATGCATGGCAGAGAATAAAAACGCGCGTGCGGAAAAAAACGCCGCGTATAAGTAGTCAGAAAAACAAGTGTCTCTCCTCGAAAACGTGCAACCGATGCGGAATAAAGAACGAAACTGTCCGACGGAATAGTTCCATTGTTCAAACTTTGAATTTCGATACAGCTATCATTTGTGGTGTGATAACGTACGATAACTATACGGAAGACAACTGACCGCAATTTAGATTGCGATATTGCTTGATAAGCGTATGCGAACAGCTGCGCATATGTGAAGGGATAGCAATAATTGATGCATAGTACGCGATGCAGAAGTGCATTTTTGAGTGTTCCATTGCAAAATGAGCAACTATTCGATAAATGTTCATGTCAGAATATTTTTATTCTTATATTAATTTGTATTACAACCATTTTTTAAATTGTTTTCTGAGAATATTACAAGATGAAAGGAATTAAAATTAAATTAAATTAAAAGACTCGGCAATCTCGGACCAACTCAAATCAGCGAAGGTCACCCGTGACAAACAAAATGCGAAGCAAGTTAATACCTGACCGATCTTTGCGAATTCAGCATTCCGAAAAAAAGAACGTTCCGATCTATATTTAGACTGTTTTCAGTTTGCTACGATATATGTAATATATTTATCTGTTTAATAATTATCTTTAATCATTATTATTTACGCTCTATTTCATTTTTTCTAATTTTCCAGTTTGCAAATTAAATTTCTATATTGGGATCCGAATAATTTACATGCTTTTGTAAAAACACGTGGCACGAATACCATCGCGTTGACACATGCCACATGATGCACGTTACTCTACTGAGGGGCGGTTGTTCCAACCTATTAGTAAGCTAACTAATAGTTAAATCATATGTCTATCTTTGTCTAATGTAAAGGATAAACAAAGACATACATATGATTTAACTATTAGGTAGTTTACCAACAGGTTGGAACAACCAGCTCTGAATGAATACGTTTCTATCGAGTGAATATCATGCAGGGAATGTATTGTATCAATTACACATTTCTCGTAACAATGTCGTCATCGATTAATGCCATCACCGTCGGTGTCGCTGGAACACCTTGCATGCGTGTATCACAAACGACGTGAGAATAAATTATGCGTGACATTAAATTAAAGAGGGTTTTAGTATCCACATTGTGAAAGACCGATGACCATTCCATTCCAGATTAATTGCAGGCTTCTCGATATCAATCTGCGAAATATTTTCAGAGTGAGGAAAATGGGAGGTGATAACAATGAAAGGAATTGATCAGTTGTGCGATTTTCTCGATGTTACTATATTTTATTCCAGCTGTGTGAATGTTACATGATTTTTATGAGTGTTTAGTCATGCTTTTATAAAAAATGACTCGTATATTAAGTTGTGCTTTGTAGTAAAATACGAAGATAATATACATCCCGTATATACAGTTTTTAAAAGGATAGTAATTTTGAGACGTTCTACACATAAATAATCGAAAAGAAAAGAAATACTTTAGTTAGAAAAAATAAACGCCAAATTAGAAAATGTCATTATTCAAGAAGTAAACAGGAAATGTTCCTCTTAAATTAATAACTCTTTCAAATTTCTGAAAAACAATTTGATTAATTATATGCATATCTATTAGTACTTAGATTCCGTTATTATTATTGAACAAAGAGCCTCTACCGTTCATCTTAATTTTTATAATCCAAATCGTAGTTGAAAAATATAATTAAATATATAATAAATAAATAATAATTTAAATAAATCACTTATTGCTCAATTACAATTTATCTTAATTTATAAAAGGAAACAAATAAGGAAACAATAACAAAATCGCTTGAAAAGTACATTGAGCGACGGAACATTTATCTCGCCCAACGCTCGTCTCAACGAGATAAATTTCGAGAAAGATTCAAAGATTTATCTACTAAGGAAGGGTCTACTATCGAAACGGAGTTTGTGTTTTGTGTGTGCGAGCTTCATGACTCATATCGGCTGCTGACCCTTTGCCTCCGCGCGACAAGTAAGCGTACCACTTTGATGTTGAAGAGCGACGGTAGGAATCGCTTGATCTCGGCCGCCGTCTTAACGAACACATCCTCGGCGCCACCTCCGTCGCCGTGATCGCCGTACCCGTAGTAGCTCATCCCGCACGCTCGTTTCTTTCTCTTTCTTTTTCCCTCGACTACGCCCAGATCCGAGGAGAATTATTCCGAATTATTTCGAAAAAGTCAATTGTCCCTGCGACGGACGCAGCTGGAGCCCGGAGCTTCCGACGTCGTCCCGATATCCGTCAACCGTCACGCTGGTACTGTACTGGCACGAATTACGGAGCGCGAGAAGATGCTCCGACACGAACGTTAAACCGTTATAACCTGACGGATTCTACGCGCCGGGTTCAGCCTTCAGCCTAGCCACGAGCCTAACCCTCACCCATGGCTTTTCCTCAATTCCTCCTCGCGTTCCGTCACGCGCCCAGGTGAATACGGCTCGCGAAATAACCTTGAGAAGGCAAGGCACCTTTCAGTGGCGGCACTGGCGGCATCCAGGCTCGGATCGCGATTGGCCGCCGTTCTGCAACAACCTAGCCAATGGCGACGCCCGCCTCGAGGCTCGCCGCGCCATTTTGAAAGTCACGCGATTCAGCGTGCGCGCGATTTAAAACGGCGCCGCGGCGGTGTCGGCGGTGATTCGTGTGTGTTCGTGTGATTTCCCCGCGGCCGTTAATTATCGAGATCACCCGATCACGTTAATTAGTCATTGTGTCTATAGTCGCCGTAGGGAATTGTGCACAAAGTCGCTTCAAAACTGTCGGAACACGTATAAGGTACTCACCTCCACCTTCTTCGTTGCTTGTCGGACGAATTCCGGCTCGCGTATCTCCCTGCTCCATCCGTACGAGTTCATTTTCAAGGGTGCTTGAAAATTCTTTATCCCGATGATCTTGACAACGGGTCAAACGGATGATTTGTTGCACTGATCGCGTGTCTTAATTTAATTCTCGTCGACGCCGAGACAGATCTTTGTTCTCACCGATTAACCTCACTTTTTTCTTGCAGCGCTGCTGTCAATATCACGCTGATTCTGTTATCAAGGTTGCGCGAGTTACGACTTTTATGACTGTGAGAAGTTTAATCGACATTGATACGCGAGCACAAAGGATTATCTCTCTGGACGAATGTATTATTGTGTACCAATTCTGGACAGGATCGTACAAAGAGCGTCAAGCATTCGCCCTTTTTAACAGATTCGTTTTATATGTAATACTCTGGTAAGTCATTCAATATTAATTTAATATCGTCACATTAATTTGTCAGAGTTGTTACATATATTCTTATATTCGAAATTATAAATCGAGTACTAAAGTAATCAATATACTGATAAATATTTGAGAAAAATATGAATTTAAAATATAATTAAATTCAAATTACATTCATAAAACTCTAATCGTATATTTTATATATATGCCTGAAAGAATCACGATCGTGTCATAAAAATGATTTCTATATAAATCTTTAAATAGAATTCTCTTCACCCCACATCTGTTGTTACGTACACTTATTCCAAATTATTAATCGATTACTGAATCAATACTGACAAACACATTTGAGAAATATGAAATTAATATATAATTAAATTCGAATTAAATTCCAATCGCATATCTTACATGTGAAATTTCTTAAAAGAATGCTTTTTGTACAAACCGGCTGTCTTGAAAACTTTGTGTCTAGAATTAATGCTCTCCACCCACGCCTATATATTCGAGTCGATGAGGTAAACTTTATGCACTATCAAAGGGACATCTGTATCGGACGTTTATCTTACACCAGATGTCTAAAATGCACTACTGATGGAGCACTATTGATTTTCGGGACGACTGCCAAACAGTTTCATCCGAAGACCAGTATTACAGAGTCGCTCGAGTCTGGAAACAATTTCCGTGTATCGATGATTTCTGTCATTATATATACGACTTTTGCGTGCCGACAATCGGTCCCGACAATTGTCTGCAATCACACGCAATTATAATCGACACGCAATTTTGCCTGCTTGTAAACACAATAGCCAGGAGCAGATTCCGGGATTGCCGCGCCGTGACTGTCACCTGTGGCTCAGCGGCGCGAAGTAACGCGAGTCGCCGTATACTTAACATCCGGCCGTGTCTTTATCAGCTTTTACGAGCACCTCCGAGGAAATTGGATCTGTCGCGTTTCGCGGAAACCATTCTCTACTACGTCACGGTCGACTTAACTGGCGTGGAGTCAGAATCATCGAGTTGCGACACGGCGCGCGCTATCGTGACAGCGATTATTATTGCAAATCACGTGTGTCATGTTTCGCCGCCGGTACCGTAATCATGTATATTCGTACGCGTGCCGGTTCAACCGCGTGTTACCATTTCTAGCTTTTATTGCCGCTGGCAATCGTATCGTGTGCCGCGCAACGTGACAGTTGTGACGATTGTTAACGTTTGACGTCATTCGGTGGTCGGAAATCCATCACAAAGAAAAAAGATGTTCTATGTCTGCAGACATACGGACATCGTTACGTTGCAAGATAAATAAATTCACTGGAAGATACGCGTAGAGAAATAGACTTGCTCAAACGCAAAATTGTGCGGAACACGATTTCGTATCCAAGAAAAAATTTTATTCCCATATATCCTGACAGAAAGTAGAAAGAATTTCGTGAAATAGTAACTTTTCGATGACCCTTACCTTAGTGTTTTTATATATATAGAATGGCGAAAGGAATTTATGTATAAAAAATACGCAAACAAATCTCTTGCTTTATCAAAACCGAGAGTCGCTTCTCGTTCTGACAGGGTTGAGCTTTCAATCTATTTTTATTCAGTATTTTTAACTTAACAAAGTGAGTACTATTCACTCTATAAGCCGTAATTTTTTTTTAATTAAATTCTACGCGTTTATGTAGCGATTAGATAGTGGGCAATTGGAATATTGTTCTCTTAACTCTCTAATGATTCTTTATTTTGTGCGATAATCTGGGAGCTGCACCCTTTTTTAGCGCTATTAAAATTGTGGCACAATGCCGAACGTTTTATCGATCCAAGGGCGCACCCTCGGTGCAAAACGTGTGTCACGGTCACTGTGTCATATTAAAGATGAACTTCATCTCTCGTTTGATGGTTGATTTAGATACGGTCTACCCGACAATTTAACAATTACCGCAATATCGCGGTTAAGTTGGTGAATAGGATCGTTTAACCGGAAATTATATCACAACAAATAAAAGGCTCGTTCACAACGATGATAAATGGGAATATTGTTGAAATGAACTAATTAGCTTCCATTATCTAATTTACACGACTATCGTTTTCCGACTAACTATTGTTGCAACTATACAATGCTCTCCATATACGTTGCGTAATATTGAGGTTTTTTTCTCAATAATAGAACTTGCAACAAATATAACAATGATTAGACAATTAAGTTTAAAGTATCAGAATAATTGTGCCAATGCAAATAAAACGTTATTGCACAATTTTCTTTTATTATACGAATTTGATCTGTTATCTTTTATCTCAATTTCACCAATGTCGAATTCATTGCACTGCCCATAATTAATAATTACGCTTACAATTGAGCCTCTCTGTGTAACAAGACCAATATCGCGAGCGTTTTGCGGATCGCCCTGTCGCAAAATACGTGAACCGTTGTTTTTTTTTCGCGCAATTTGGGGCACAAAATTAACTCGAAAACCTGGTTATAGATGAGATAACATCGAATGATACCGATTCCGTGGCACACGTGATCGTGCCGAAATGGACGCGGACGAGCGTGTGGTACGTGATACACTGGCTGGCATATCCGGTGAGATTCGCTCTGTTTCGGAACCAACTGTACGTCCCTTCCCTCTTCAACCGTCCGAGCTATGTCGCCAACGCGGCGCCGATATACGGGTTGCCTGCTTACACGTTGTGCACCGCACTGAACTGCTTTTCCTTATAAGGGATTCTCGTACATTGCCGAAAAAGAAAGTTTTAATTCGCGAACCGGTTCTCTTCGCTACTCCGTGCATAATATTATGCACGAATTTTTTGTATACAGATGAAAGGATAGCCGTATCAATTTTATTATATGCGAGATATCGCATCGTGTATACTAGAATAGAATTTTATCACGTATCTATTGCTCTTAAATATTTTTCAAAATTGATTTATTTAAATTTGTTTGAGAATGTTAGTACATTATCCTTGTCTCTTTAATTTTAAGCCACGGGAATTATGAGTTTTACAGTAGATAAAGCTTTCGTGGCAGTTTGATGATGTTCAGAACTCAAGATCGAGAAACTTTCAAGCCGAGGCCACGAAGCACGTTTTCGACCGTCTAATCGCATAAGTTATTTTGGGAATTTTGAAGAAGCTAAGAATGAGTCATTATGTTATGAGAACAGTTCAGACGGTTCTTTTTCGCCGTATCAAATAGAGGATATTTTCCGCGTTTTGTAATCGTTTTGTAAACTCATCGTTATCAGTGAGAAGAGTGAAGAAAGCTAGGTACCAATGAGTCAGTTTAATTAATGCCACGCACGTTTTGTTATCGATGAAAATCGGGAATAAACAATGTTTGAATTTAGGCAAAAGATATTCTGGCATCAATCCAGCAGATGTAAATTACTCTTTTGCAAACAACAAAAATATTGATGACAGCAAACAAAAAACAGAGATTTATCTTTCTAATCTGAACATTTATCTTTCTAATCTGAAGTTTTAGAAATTAAAAATCGTTATTACAAATGTTTTTGTTATCTACATGTAATTTAATTCTATTCTATTTTATGACCTTTCTTCATCGAAATTTCTTCGATGCTGTTTACCTTAATTTTCGAGTGCCTAATGCTCAAGTGCCGCAATGTTAACTTTTAATAAAGTTTGAAATTGAATTTTGAAGAATACTGAGAAGGTTATTAAAATTTTGACAATCACATAGCTTTGGAACGTAAAATGTACTTTGGACAAGAGAAAAATTCTTAAATCTATTTATAACGTTGAAACTTACTCGTTTATTGAAATGCTGTTGCTATAGAAGAGGTAAGCTCCCAATTTTAAAAGCAATTTCACAAAATTCTACTCAAAGAATCATAATCTCAAGAGGATCGCGAAACATTAAAGCTCCGCAAATGTCGCGGAGACGCGAGCACGAGGGCAGAGTGTCGGATGGCCTAAAAATATGTCGACGATACGCATCGTGCATCGTAGTTCGCGCGTACGAGAGGGTTCGTGTTTTACATTTAAAAGTGAATTTGGCGATGCGCCAGGGGTACGTTGAAAAAAATTTCTCTCACTGTGCGAGGACGCACGATTAAAAAACGCGGTGAGTTTTGATCGTTATACGCGTTTGGCTCGCGTGGAATGCCCACCGCCGTTCAACGAGCCAGAAAACATCAAAGAATCGAGAATAAACACAAATTCCAGTCAGAGTGACCGAAAATATTGAAATAAATCTCTCTTTTTGAGTCGCGCGTCACGTTTCAGCTAGAAATTACACTCGTGAACGAGTACTATTGAGGATTTATCGAAGCAATTATTAACAACTAAAAATTACGCATTGAGTTCATTTTCGCTGCGAGTTTAAAAGGAGTACATCGCAGGAAGATTCAGAATTTTAATAAGCAACAATATACAGCGAAGCTAAGGGTGCGCGATAACAAACCTTGAAGGTGGTATTGGCAGGATGGTGCACATCGCCGGAACCGGAGAGCCCTCCTCGTAGCAAACGCGACAGAAGATTGTAACGACCTACCGTTGACCACGCGTCCTTTGTCGCTTGTACAGGACATCTGAGCAAAAATTTGTTGTTTTTTTCGTCTAATGTAAAGTGCGTGAAAAAAAATAGAAGCTGATGCTGAATGAAGGAGAATGAAAAAAAAAGAGAGCGAGCAATACCAATACAACTATTATACCAATCTGGTTTTCGATATATTAAACATCAATATGGAACAAGTGTCGGAGCAAGTAAATCGATGTTAATTAATTCAAGCATTAATTTAGATCGCTAAATAAAGAGAAAAGTTGATTATTTTTCCACAAGTTATTCAAAGATTCGCCCGCATTGCCGTTGAATTTATGTTGAGGTGTTTTTATTATTTTTCGTCTTCTCAATTATCCCAACTTGCTCTGTAAATTTAACAAATTTCCACGGCAGTAGCATTCATTTAAAATAAAAAAAGAAATTTACATTAAACAATCTTTGTCACCGAAGTCACAGCCTTCGGACATATAGCATCAATTTCTTGCACCACATCTTAGATCTTTTCGCGACAAAGGGACATTTCTAAAACTGAAGAGTCGTGCGAAACACGATAGATGTTCCGAGCTGATATTTCGCACGTGGCTCGTCTCGTCTCGTTTTACGATCAAGCTTTTAAAACTTGTTGCCAAGAAATTTAAAGTGCTTACCCTTTTGCGAATTTATACGTTTTCGGCGGTCGACCGTCCTCAACGATGGTTTTCACGTAGTAGTACGAATAACTCGACATCGTTCCAGGTCATGGAGTCGTAAGACACGAATTGAGGACAAACACGATCGGGGGGGCACGTGCGACACACGCCGGGGTTCCATGCGCGAATTGTCAAATTGTCATCCGGCCACCGCGAATCGGACTGTCATCCTCTTTCCTCCGCTGCGTGTTCGCGTATGCACGTTTGGCCCGTGCCGTCGTTTATACTTATCTACTCCGCGTACTCGAGTGCACGGGCGTATATATAGTCGCCGCCAACGTTACTGAGAAAACTATGACGCTTTCCAAGATGTGACAATGTCGGCGTCCAGCGCAGAGATCTCATTGCCAGCGATGCAAACGTCCCTGAGAATGTTCGCCAAAGAACGAACGATGCAAAACGGAAAGGAAGGGAGAGACAGCTAACAATAACGCCAACTTGCTCTTCGATGAACTGAATGTTAAGTTGGACCAGCGCAGGTAGCAATCCGCTTTCGGCTGATACAAATATAAACGCTAGATAAATCAAGAGAAATGAAGAAACGGAGAAAAATAAAGAAACTGATAAATGGAGCTGTAAAGCTAATCATTTTTCTAGAGGAGATTATTGAAGGGAACTGTTGAAGCATTTTCCTACAACTACCTGAAATGTATAAACAGTTTATAATGAGCTTATAGAAACGAATTCATTGTAATCATCGGGAAGGAAGCTTATGATGAAGTAGTAACACGCTACCTTCCATAAACACGCTTTTATTGCGTTTCACGTACAGATACATTATAGTGGCTGATTTTCATATGCTACGCGCACGTAAAGTACGTCGTCGTTGTAAGAAAAATAAAAAAGGGCTTGTGCTCTTTTTATTCCCTTCCCTGCCCCCCGCCCCACCCTCTCCATTTCCAAGACGCGTTCATCGATCAGCCTACGGAGATTTTTACATCGATATTACAGTGTAACATTTTACTCGGCAGCCATAGCCACATTTCGCGTATCCGTATCTCGCTGGGAACCTCAACCCTTTAGACAGATAGGACAATACGGCCGTAATGTCTCCGACCGGGGGTTTACTTTACGTCGAAGACGAGACTGCTCGCGTTCCTTATAGACTTTTAAATATCAAATGTATATATATACACCGCAAAAACATTCCTCAATCTGCCATTTCCAAGTTTACGTATCCACGTTTTTAACGTTGACTTCATGAGCTGCTACGTCACCCTGATTAATTCGCGCTCGAAGATCCACGTTAACGAGTGATACAATAATTTTATAAATTCCTGCCCCATTGCTATCACGGAATTAGAAAGTTCATTCAACGAGTTCACTTTGCGTAAGAGTATATGTGTATGTATGTATGTATGTGTGTATGTGACGCTTAACGTATTGAATACATGTGTTACGTATTTGGTATCTTTCATCCCCCCCCCCCCTCGTATGTACACAATTTGCCTGTTTTGCATCCTTTTGTAGCAATCTCTTTTCTTCCGACTTACGATAGTCGCGTGTCTTTCTTACGGAGATCCACGTTCGGCGCGCGTCAAAAAAAAAAGTGTCGCCCGCGCGAAGAGAAATTCGCGGTTTCCTCCCCGAATATCCCATTCACAGGAGAGTCTCCTCGGAATAGTAACGACGCGAGTATTCGTTATCCTGGGCCCACAGAGGCGAGGAGAGTTCTACGAGCTGCGTGTCCCTGATAATCGCAGTCGTCGTGGCCGACCGTTGCAGCTGCAATCGGCGAGCGATCATGCAGCCGAGCGCGGCCGGGCAGCCTCGTCAACCCCCCTCGGATAAATCTCAGCAGGAGCACTCCTCCTCCCTCGGCAGCTCGTGACCCAGAGAGTCCTTCATTGCAAAAGCGAGAAAGTCGTAAAATATTAGGGCCAAGGAAATACTAAGATCTGAAAAGATACATTTCAAATAGTAATGCAAGAAAAACTATATAATCGTTAATGCTTCCTTTAAGACTGTTACTGAATTCGCAAGGCTGCAAATGAACAGTAGTTCAGAGAGTCTTCGAAAGACGTTTAGAATCTCAAAAAGATGTCTTATCAATTCACAATCAAGGAGTTTGCATCGTAAAAAGTGTATACACAAGAGGCATATAGAATATATCGATATATATGATTTTATTTTTTATTTTTTACATTTTTTCTTATGCAAGGCTGTAGATTTATATAAGCCTCTATATTTCTTAATTACTATTATTCCTCGTTTCACAGAAAAGCCCTTGATTGCAAATGTTCGAATTCGTCGGTGGACAAATTGCGTTTTAGTGCTAAGTACCTTCGATCAAGGACCACGGTCAGATGGAAACTTTGCAGGACGCCGAATGTAGGGGGGAGGTCAAGTTACCTTCCTTAACTCCAAATTGCCCGGCGTGCTCGAGCGTTGCGTTTGCGTTGTGATCTTCTCGTAGGGGATGGTGCCTCTGCAGAGCGCGCTCGGGTCCAGACTCAGGGTCGCCTTCAGAGTATTCTTCTTCACCATGCCGTTCACATTACTGACATTGGCGTTGAGGCCGATGGTACGACTTGGCGAACAAGTGCGCGTATTGGGCGACGAGTGCGTCGTGGTGTCGGGCGGGGTGTCCGAGGATTGTGCTATCAGAGAGTCGGAGTTGGTGTCGGTAGTCGTTGTGCTCTCATTGCCATTTTTGCGATCCGTTATCGCGTTATCGATGTTGGCAGTCATATGACATTCATCCTCTGGACGGTTGTTGCCGTTGTCTACGTTATCGCAGTCTTCGATGTTGTTGGTTCGATGTATTGCCCTGCTGTCTTGTCGATCCGATCGGTCGATCCTACGTTTGTCCTGCGAAAGAGAGTCGTGTAATATATACAGTAATAATATAAACTGGAATCGTAAAATAATAAAATAAATATAGCATATAACATTAAATGTAATGGAACAATTGTCCTTCTTTCGTTATCTCAACTTCTAATAGCCATTATTATATGATTTATGTTAATACGAGAAAGTAAATTTATCACAAAGGAATATAATTAAAGCGTTAATTAAGATAACAATTAATTTATTAAGAAAATAGTTAAATGCAATTCAAGTATCGATAGATTTCCCAGAGTTTTCAAATATATTGCAATTTCCGCTCACCTCGTCGTCACGTTCTTCATCGTGATCGTTGTCGCTGTACGTTTGCTCAAAAGCATCCGTGCCAGAGTCGTGCGTATTGCAATTAAATTTTCCTTTCCGGCATCCCGTTGATTTCGCGTAATTTCCTCCGTACAACTTGCAGTCTTCGATTGATTTTTCATTTTCCGGATCATAGACGGTGCCACCCATAGCTTGATCCACACGACGTGCAACGGACCGTGGATCGACGATTCTCGGTTGCATGTAGCCATCCAACTGTCGGACAAGTTTAAAGCTCGCTTTCTACGTGTATGTCTAACAAGATATAACATTTTCACATTTCATTTTATAACTATACCGACATCAGACTGCACGTTGATGCATTCCGCTTCCGGGTCCGGTCTCATGATTGTTATTTCACGATCGCAGATTGGCAATATATCGAAATTAGGCGTTGGTTGATTTATCACATCAGGATCCTTTGTAAAAAAAAAAACATTAATTCGTAGATTATATTGTTTTAGATTATATTTAGATCAAATAATGAGATTGTGACTTTATATAAAAATAAAAATACAATGTCGCAATAATGAACGAAATAAAATAAGACTAAGATTAAATTAAAGAAAACCGGTATGGTTGAAATCCCTTGTTGCGCTCTCACCTGTAAACAATAGCCAATCCTTTCGGCAATGGTGGCGAAACTTGGTCTGTCATCAGGGCGTGGATGCCAGCACCGCGTCATGATTCCATATATAGGATCTGGGCATCCCGCGGGTTTCTCGAGACGGCCGCCGGACGTTACCATCGACATGACTTCGCGATTTGCACATCCGGTGTAAGGCATATATCCGAATGACATAATCTCCCATAGAAGCACGCCGAAGGCCCTAAAAATTACATTGCAACGTTAGGAGCTTTATCTGTTAATTTATATTAATGAGAAAATTTTCTTTTCGACTCGTACCATAAAACATTAATTTTCGATGAAAATAAATTACGTAAAAAAAAAAAAAGAAAACGAAAAGGCGTGCGTATTTTTGAAAAAGAAAATTGTATGGGATCGAATGACGATTTTAGCGAATACGAAATACGAAGTCTCACCAGACGTCGGTCTTCGTAGTAAATATGCCGTCCAAGAAGCTCTCGGGTGGCATCCACTTTATGGGCAGCATTGCCTTGCCACCTTTCCTATAATAATCGCTTCGATAAATATCCCTGGCCATACCGAAATCCGCGATCTTGACGGTACGGCCCGCTGCTTTGGTAGTCAACAAGCAATTCCTAGCGGCAATATCTCGGTGTATAAAACGCGCTTCCTCCATGTATTTACAGCCGTTCGCGACGTCGTAGCCGCACACAATAAGGTCTAGCATCGTTAACGATGTAGGTCGGTCCTGCAAAATCAAGAATATGTGTATGACATGCGTCCTATAGAAATTAGATAAAAATACGGATTAAAAATATTCGCGAATAAGCTGTAGCTACTTTAAAGTAGGTGCTTGGAGATTAAAAACGTAAGTGCAATATATTTCACTCTCGCTTTTCTCTTAAGTTGATAGTGTACAGTTATTAATACTCACTGATCGAGGCCGTTCTTCGCGCAGAAAATTCTTGAGGTCACCTCCGGCTAATAATTCGAGAACGATGTACCTCGGATGTTTGTCGAAGGAGACACCGATAAAGTGTACTATATTAGGATGATTGAATTTGCTCATTATCAGTGCCTCCATCATGAAATCCGCTTCTGCCTGCGTCGTGGATAAAGACGGTAGCGTCTTGACGGCGACGGGATGTTCCTCGCGGCGTCTGTATTTGTACACGCCCTGGAAAACTTCGCCGAAGGCGCCTTGGCCGAGAGGTCTGCGTCAAAAATTATAATCGATCATTCTTACTTTATTCCGTGCAATAAAAAAGAATAAATAGTTTTAATTTTATTTTTTATGTTTGAATTCTTGGATGAGGGAAAACCTAAAGATTTTTATATATAAAACGTTGAGAGAATAATCAATTTGTAAAATTGTCTAGTGTATCTGATTGATATGCTAATTATAGACATTGAGAACATCCAATTCAATCTGTACAATTGTGTAGTATCCGATTGATATGTTAGTCTTGGTTTATTATATTCGTACTAACTTCACTAAAGTAATACAGTCGCGAGGTATTTGCGGCAAGTCCTTGAAGCTGTAGAGATTGCCAGCAAACTCGTAGTTGGGGTTGAATTCGGTCATCATCGTGTCCGACACGTTTCCTGGACGCAATGCAGCTAATTCGGTGCCGTTGCCGAACATCACTTGACGGCGATGCGAAAGCGCTTTCTGTTTTTGGTATCGTTTATCTGCCGGAAAATGTAAGATGTGCAAGCGGAAGAATTTTACGTAAGAATAAAATAATTAACGAAATATTTAAACAACAAATATTTCGCGATTAAATATAACGAAAGAGAAAGAGAGAGAGAGAGAGAGAGAGAGAGACTGGTGTTATTTAAAAATTAAGATACTCATGATAAAAGCTAAAACAAGACCTTCACAAATCATCTCGCTCTTTGATTGTATCTGGAGGAATATTTTGAATAAAATAATTTTCATCATAGCTATTATAGTCTCCTTGCGATAAAAATTAGTCTAGCATTATTTTATTTGTTATATTATAACACTCAAGGTTTTTACTTACAAGATACTAGGCAAATTCCAATAATAGTGAAGAGGCCAATGACTACACCTAGAAGCTGAATTAAGTGCGTTTGATGTCCACCTTTGGAATCGTCAGTCACTGAAATCCAATACGATGTTACTTTGCATTTAACAACGATGGCAATGATATGTCATGGCAGTTGCGCTTACTGATGCAGGATTTGGAGTTGTTGCTGAGCAGCCAACCCTGAGGACAGAGACACTTGGTCTCGCTCAAGTACCGATCGAGCGCGACGCAGCGATAATCGCAACCGCAACCGCTGATCGCAGGTATGATGAAGACCTCGCCCGGGCCGGAATGGACTCCAGATTTGAAATAAACGTCGGTGAGCTTCTGACTGGCGTACGAGTAACCACCCTCACCGTTTCCGTTGTTGTGTCCCGCATTACCACCTAAAGAACGTGAAGTTATTTCTAAGCTAATTAATTGAGGATCGTCATTTACGACATGTCTAAATCAGCAAGATTTATTTCAATCAGTATTTCTTCAATCTTAATTCTGATATCTCAATTGCAATATGTGATAATATCTATAAGCGTTATAGAATATTTAAATGTTTTATATTTCTCTTTACCGACGTAACCACCTCCACCACCCCCTGATTGGCAACCGCCTCCACCTCCACCGAAGCCTCCGTTACCGTGGCCTTCATTTCCTGACTCGCAACCGAGTCCTCCTATACCTCCATAAATTAATGGCGATCCCCAGGTCTTTTGTTGAAAATTAGGCTTCGTACCGTTCCAATTGGCACCTGGTCCACCTAGGAGCCGAGGTTCCATTCGAATTTGCATTTTTTTTTTCTATTTCAAGTTGCATTGTAAAAACGCAACTGAAAGATTTTTATTATGCATTTTAGAGACAAGAGCTAATTACCCATGCGTTCTGAAACATTGGACGGAGAAGATGAAAGTCTACCCGCGGGAAAGGAACCGCGCCCATGCTGTAATCCATCGTCCATAGAGGGATTCAACCCCAAACCACCGCCACCACCCGCGATTAAGATAGGTTCCAGTTCGCCGTTCGCTTTGAACTACAATCGATTACGAGTCTACGTCGAACTTGTACAATAGTGAGAAGAAGGGAACTAGTGAAAAATTGAAGCAAGACTTTCTTTGTGCAAACACCGTGGTGATTCTAATGAAATATCTACGTGACTTATTGTTAGTTATGTAATAAGAAGTGACGCGTCTTTTATTCTTTGTTATTTTACTAAATTGCTATAGTCATTATTTTACTAAAGGCATAATATTTATCATATTTTATTTACCGTAAAGATGGCAGTCGCACCACCGCCACCGCCACCAGGATTCTTAAACTCGATCTTCTTCACTTCTCGCACTTTTGACGATGTCTGCTGCAGCGATAAGTCGATTTGATCCGACGACTGACAGGTGGTTGTCTTTAAGCCGAGATTCTGATTGACAAAATCAATAATATCAGTATCAGTATGTTGCAAACAATAATATAAACTGAACAAATAGAGGATATCTCTAGCAATTTGTAATGCAACTGGGAGAAAAAAATGTTGCATCTGTAAAAGTAAGCATGACATTTTTGCGAAGCTATGCAAACTTTTGAAAAAAATCGATTTTAAAATATTTCGAAGGGGAACGAAAAGTCAATGTTGAAACAAAAAATTAACTGTGAAATTTATAGAACAGTATCAATGAAAGTTATAAAGTAGTAGAAGCTTAAGAAAATAAAAATAAGCTTATTAATATTCCAATTCACATTTTATTTTCCTGAAAATAAATTTTCACGTAGAAGAAAAGTTTATTTTACATCTTTATTATATTTTATGTAGATTTCTTATTCCAGTTATATTAGCAATACTCACTTTAGCACAGGCGTTCGTTCCCTCTTGACCCATCATGAAATATAGTTGGTCGCCTTTCTGGAGCTCTATGACACCGCGAACAAATGCACCCAGGGTAATGCCGATGTTACTTGAACCCTGTCCGCCTCGTGCTCCGACGGCGATTAAACTGTTTTCGAAGACAATTTATAATTAGACAGGTCAAAAAAACGGATTCGTCATCCGGCAAATCGGCAGTTTAATATTAATTCGTGAGTTAATTTGTTTTCTAAAATTAAATTGCCTCCTCACACGATTAAATTGATATTAATAATCACTATGCCAATGAGACGTCTTAAAATCTTCCATTATTATCAATCTATATTTCTGACTAGATCTACTAACGTGTAATATTCACCGCGTGGTGCGGTCCACCGTTGGATTCCATTTAAAGGAATTAAAGGAAAGGGCATTTTATCCTCTTCATTTTGTGACGGCGACAAAAACTCTACATCTGTGTCATTACATTTCTCGTAGGTAGGACCATTTCTGCCGGTAGCTCCGCAAGTGGTAATTCGGATGACTGAACACAGTGTAAGATTAATTTGATAAGTTTTTCAGTACAGATGTAAAGAAATAAGATATTTTATTTGTACTTTTAACTGTTATTTCTAATGACGTATGACACTCCAAACATGTTCTTTTATGTATGCATAATTATTGCAAAATTGTATTCACTTTTTACTTTTTTAACTTTTAATCTACTATAAAAAGTTTTTTAGCAATGGAAAAAATGATTTGATCAATATAAGTAGTAAATAAGCTTTATATACATAAAAAATTTTTTTTTCTGTCAAGAAAAACAGTACAAGATTCATAAAAACATTTTTCGAAAAATTTTATGTCTATAATAAAATAAAATTAACACGTTTCACAATGTACATGTATAAATAATTTTAAAAATGTATAATCAAGCTTTATTGAATGCGTCACAACTTCATACCTGTCTCGTTTACAAAATCCGGATGCTGCATTGGCACCTTCTCGGATTCAATAACGGTTCGGTAATAATCAAAATCGCCTACAATTTCCCGTGGAACCCCTGCAAAAAAGAGACATTTATGTGTGAATGGCAGATGGGAAAAAAAACATAACTAGCTATGTAATAAAGATACGTTTAACATTATGTTACAATTACCAATGCCGAAACATTCTGGACTCAGGGAAATATCATCAACCGCTATATCACCTTTCGAGGAATACCCTCTGGACGCTTCGAATTGCAAGTGGTACCTACAAATGCGTGTCGTATCGATGACATTTAGTTCCTCATTGTTCGGAGCAAGGGTTAAATCAATTTTGCGTTAATTGCGTTTATCGCTGCGTAATTTTCTGTGCTTATTACCTGTATTTTACATCTAGAGCAATCGCCTCGTTGTGCCAAGCGTCGTTAGCAGGTCCGTAGGACCACCACAAGTTTTCGGTATGATTTCCATATGGTTTTACTTGGACTAAAAAGAGCCCAAGAGATGCGCTATGCGCACCGTGTTTGTGATAGAAAAAGCGTACCTGAAAACATTTTCCGTTCACAAGATATTTGTTAAAATAAAACTTTCTTATTGAAAACGTTAGAATAGACTTCTATCTAAACGCTTTCTATCGAAATTTTGAAAATAAAATGCACTGTACATTCATAATCGTTTGTGGTAAAAAAAAAAATAGATAGTGTTTCAATCTCAAATATAAATTTAAATAATCAATAACCGTTCTTCCATATCGAATAAATTAGTGAAAAAGTCATATTGATTTTATCTCATAGATTAAATCTGTACTCAAATTGTTCCATATAATTTTTCACGACTTGACTTTATTGATCTCAACCGCAATTTATCGTTCTTAAATTTTTTACAGAAACATAAGACCGAATCAAATGCTTCTGTTTTTTCAGAGATTTAATTATACATATGTATAGAGAGATAATTCAAGATATTCAAGATTATAAGCGTTAAATAACAATCGAGTAATACGTACTTGACACGACCGATAATAAGGGCTGTTAGGGTCCCTGCTGTAAGGTGGTGTCGGATTATACAAAGGACTTGTCATCGTGGCTCGACTGCCGTACTTGACAGCCGCATGTTTAAAACCCATGTTCACGAACGCGTACATTCCTGCTCAAATAGATGACGATTTTATTGTTCTGTGAATAATGTGTGTTGCGCTTCATCTAGTCTCAAGCGCATACCAGTTGCATTGCGGTAAGTATGATCGTAATTGGGTCCGGTCCGAAAGGTTGGCGTAGGGCCACTATGACGGGTCCAATTTAGAGGTCTCCCAGGGACGTTCGTCCATCCGCACCAACCGTCCTCGAAGTTGCACTTCGCGTTCGCCGGTATCTTGTCTGCGAAATATTTTTAAATGTTCAATTGCACGAACATACGTCTCAAAGACGGGGCACAAGGAATTCTTACGTCACGGAATACGATATTTAAGGAAATGTAAGATAATGAATTTAGGATGTTACGTACCGCACTCGAGCGCTTCGTCTTCGCCGTCGACGCAATCCTTCGTGAAGTCGCAGACACGGGTCCTGTTTAAGCAGGGCCCGATGTTACACCGAAACATGTTCTTGGTACAATCCTCGATAGATTCTAAAATGGAAACGCGCGAAAGAGTTATTATCGCTTTAATTATAGAACTTAATTTTTTATTTACATTGACTGGCAATCGTATACAAATTTCGCATCTGCTTCAACATTATTATTGCTTATAAATTCTTACGGATATAATCAAGCGTATTATTTTTCTCATTTAATTAACTTAATTAATTTAATTAACTTAATACTTCCATGTATGAAGGGATACGTATATGTAAAGCAGAGAGGTAAGGTCATCGTATACAAATGCCGCAATTATCACAAAGGTATAGTCGTCATTGATATAACACGACTATCAAAATATTCCATTAACTTAATTATCTGAAAATATTTTGTATAATTACCTGGAAAGCAATTAACTAGGCGAAGGTTGTCGACGCCGATGCTCGAATTAGGATAGGGCAGATAGACCTCTAAAATTAATTTATAGGACTGATCGATCGCGCGTAATGAGAAGCTTATCTTTTTCCATCTAAAACAACGTGTTTAAGCGTATTAAAAAATATCTATATTATCATAATCATAGCATTGTAAAAAAAATATACACATACGTGGCGGTGTTATTTCCGCTTTTCGTCACCGCGATGGAACTCATGTTATTGCTGTTCGTTTGTATGACAAGATTTATGAATCCGTACTCCATTTCCACCATATAAAGCCAGAATTCGATACGGCAACGCGGACCCGTGCGAGCAATCGATTTGGACCATATTTGGGCGTCCCCTTTGCCGCTGAACCACAGGAAATTGCCTTAAGAGAGAGAACAAAACCAATTAATTTTCCGAAAATTTACATTATTATACGCGACATCGTAACCAAATTTTAATTTTAAAATTGTTTCACAAATTGGTTTTCTTTTAAAATTTTAATTTGATTCTTTATGAGTTAAATTCTAAATGTCACGAGATCTTAGGCTATAACAACGCATTCTTTTACTTAAATTTGCACTTTATATTTCAATTTCTCCTGAAAAAAATATACAAACGTCTAAAAAATTTCGTACCGATTGCGGAGTTGTTGGCGTCCGTTCTCGGAAAGGGTTCTGGCACATCGCTGCGCGCCCTGACTTTCTTGAAACCCCGGGTCTCGCTCCAGTCCCAGTCGCATTCGGTGTCCAAATCACAGTAACCCATTTGTGACGAAGGGCTCTTTCGAAGTTCCAATAATTTTTCCTTAAAACTTTTACCATGCCACATAGAGCAGGAAGTCACCGAGATACAACAACAAATCACGACGATCCGAAGCAGCGAACCGCCGTTGCTGCCGTTGCTGCTATGATCGTTTTCCATTATTCAAGACTGAAATTATACAAGTATTTTGGTTTATATATAATAATGTATACACATATATATATATATATATATATAATAATGAGATACACACAAATAGAGTGTTTATGTATATACTGCAATTTTATTTTATTATACATTTATATATATGATAAAACCACTATGTGTGTATGTGTCTATATATATTGTGATATCATTTTATTTAAAATAGAATAAAATAAAAAAATGATTTACGCGTTTTTAGAGAAATCTAAATAAAGATTAAAGTCAATACGTATCGATAAGAGCAAATATCTGCGCGATACAGTATTTCAAGTATGATATTTATTATATTCATTACAGCAAATTTATGAATTAATATAGTTTATTTCATTTATTTTTCATTTTTTGATAATTACAGCAATATCAATTCTTTAACATAATAGTATAATTAATTAAATTAATGTCTTTAATAAAAAAGCAAACGTTCCGTTTATTATTTTTCAAATTTAATTTTAATACATTATTCCTTATATACATTTTATTTCAATTTCACAGTTAAAAGGAAATTTATATTAATTTTGACAATCTTTTACGAGTATGTTAGGGAATATGTTTTTTGCAAGGATGTTACTTATGCAAGAGCAATACTGTTAAAATTTACACGTTGAAATTAAATATTTAGAATATTACGTCCATATGCCGTCATCCGCATAGCAAAATAGTGATTGATACAGCATGAGAGATTATAAAATTCCGAGGGAAAACGAATTAATGAAACGAAGCCGTGAACGCCGGAAATAGAATAATTCATTTCCCGATATCCCTTGATTTCCGGTTTGCGCGCGGGGACGATGTTATGCCTGTCCGCTGCCATCATCAATACGACATTTCAGAGGCGACTGACGTCATACACGTTTATTTAAAAAAACGGCTAAAATACATTTTCATTTATTTGGTCCAACATTGATTATATCTTCTCGCTTTCCCAGGTGCAGAGGAAGTTTTTCAAAAATGAGAAATAAATATTGCTGATGAAGAGATATATTTTATCTATTAAAAATGTAGGATTACGAAACAGAGAGAAGAGACGGAGAAAGAGAAAATTGATATTGAGAAAATTAATATACAGATATGTAAGGAATCAGGAATTATTATTAATCAGGAATTATTTTCAACTTCTGATTCGCAAATTTTCTAAGAAAATGAGAATCAAAGATGAAAAGCTACAAATTTATATTTAGCTTTAACTCCAACTTCAGTTACGGCTTTAACTTCTGCTTTTGTTCGAGCTTGTTTTAGCTTGAACGCTTTAGTCTCCGTTCTGGGCTTAATCTCTTCTTATTTCAGAATTGCTTCTTGTATTATAATGCACGATAAAAATTTGTTAATGCGTAGTTCGATGCGCGCGAATTGCGCCGCAAAAATCACGTAGGAGTAACAATTGATCCTATTAGATCAATTCCGCCTACACGTATTCTCTCTCTCTCTCTCTCTCTCTCTCTCTCTCTCTCTCTCTCTCTCTCTCTCACTCTCTCTCTTCTTTGGCGAGCGATGCAATTACAGTTGTCAGAGTCTACAGTATTGCTGTAGAATGCGCGGTGATCTAACGCGCCTTAACTCGTCTCTATCTTACAACGAGTCGACGTCGAGTCGCTCGGAACGGAACGAAAATCTCCCGGGAGATCGCAGCGGCGCGTCCGCGCGATTTACTCCAATCTCCGCCGAATTTTCATTCTCTTTTCGAGCGCGATTAGCGGGCCCGACAACGGCCAGCTATTGTCAGCTTGAAATATCGATCGTACACCGAGTATACCCGCGCTTGCCGGCCAATCATGGCACCTCCCGCGACGCGGTGATCATTCAAATGCCAACATTAATCCCAAAGAGCTCTGATTGAAACACTCGACGTCACGGATTCATCAAGCCCCACTCGAGGAGAAAAAAAAAGAAATCTGATTTCAACGTGGAAAAGAAGGACGTTTCGTTCGCGCGGAAAAACGCGCGACCGCAAAGTGAAAATATTCGCGAAAATGGAGATCGCGGCCGAGTACGTCAGGAAGAACTGGAGAACGATATACTCTTGTGCCTTTTTATTGACTTGAGTTAAAGATTTGTAATGTGAAGGACCGAGTAACAGCTTGAAGAAATTATTTATAGTTAAATCAGTCATATTATACTGTTTGTATTAAAGTCACGCCACCAATGTTTTTTTTTACTTACTTATTTATTTATTTACTTGAGAAGAAACTTTTTTCCGTTGGTGAGAAAATCACGCGCGGCGATGGATCAATATATCGATGATTTATTCACAGCGCACCTTACTAATTCAGGACCCTCTCTTTCTTTCTGTCTCTCGCTCCTCGATTAATCCAACTTTCAACACGGTCTGTCTGTTCGCCAAAAGCACCAAGACACAGTACGCGATGTAAAGTGTACTGCGCGCAGGATGCAGCAACGACGAGATCTGTCTGATCTCGTGTCTCGTTAACAGCAATCGAGGAAAGCGTTTTGCTCTTTCCTTCAGATACATCTCCCTTTCTCTCTCTCTCTCTCTCTCTCCCTCTCCTCTCTTCCGGAGGATTCGAGCAATCGCCCGGCTTATGATTATTTCCGTGGATTATGTCCCCTCGTTTCAATAATAACATGGCCCGTGCATCGAGAGCCATGGAGACCGACCTTTTGATCAATATCGGCAAAATTCGCGTATTTACGCAATCGCGTATGTATATACGTAGCGACGGTAAACATTCCTCGATTTACGATGTATGCTGTTTTGCCATGCAAGCGACCGACGGCCCTTTGAACGGCACACTTCGAGCAGCAGAGCATTGTCGCAAAGTCAAAGCAGACAATGTCGTAACGTAATTAAGACAAGTTACGTCGATATCGCGCTATGTATAGTTTTCTGTCGTGCTCTCGATCCTGATGATTTCTCGCACGTGCAGCGTTTGTGAGCGCACACGAGACACGTGCTCCCCCATCGTTCCCCTTTTACATCAGTTCAAGGTAAAAGATAAAACGAGGAACTCTATCAACAACTGGACAACTAAAGTTATCGGACAATTAAATGATTAATATTGAAATTAATATAAGCGCGTACTCCAATTAGGAATAATTTGTTGCCCGTATATTAATGTTAAATGTGACGATTGCTGTAACGCACGACTGGTTATTCACATCAGGATTAGAGAATAATAGTAATGAAATTGTAAACAGATTGTGTAACAATGTATTGGAGAGAATAAAAGGCGACGTATTGACGAAATTGTGGAGGGAGAAGGAATGTAAAATGAAGAAAAGGAAATAAGAACGTATTAGGAGCGTGCGGAATGGGTATGAATGTGAATGTGAATGGAGTTAAGGTTCTATTGTAAACCAAGTCCCTTCTTGGCTTTTTGCCGAAGGAATAAACGATTGATTGATTAATTGATTGCTGTAACGCATTTAGATGGGCACTTTTTTATTTTATGTATATTAAAAATATACTTTTTAAATATAAAAATGACATCAAAGAAGATTTTTAAAATATAAATTTTTTTTAAAGTTCGATCCAGCTCGGACCGTAAATGGCGATTTTTGTTTAATCTTTGATTGTATATCATAACGGTTGTATAATTCTTGTATTATTAATTATTAAAAGTGTATATTGTATATACTTAACACATTTACTTGTAGTATATATAATTATATACGGAACACGTAAGAAGTTAGATATATATTTTCTTTTCTCTTAATTTTATTGTGTAGGATAAAGCATATGGAATACATCTAAGGGCATTATTCATAGTCAGATCTTATATATTTAAGATCGTCTTAAATCTGGTCAAAGACAGGTTTAAGACTCCATCCAACCAACGAAATGACCGTATAGTGTCCCGAAATAGTACTTAAGACGATCTTAAATATAAAATCGGGCTATGAATATCGGCCTAAATTGCTTTTGTTGCTTGTGAAAATATTTAGTGATATGAGGATACTACTAAAGATAAAACGTTAAATTTAATTTCTTTTCTTTCACGATTTTATTTTTAACGGTCAACATTGCACAATGCATTTGTAGCAACATTATTATCAATTAGTATTGTTTATTTAACAATATGGAGTCACGCTCGAATAAAGCCAAATTCTGCGCGTGAATTTTACATTCTTCTATTTGTATATTTTAGATTTCTATTTTTTATCTTTAAAAATACGATTACACTCTAAAAACTATACATTAATAATAATAAAATAGTTGATATCGTAACGAGAGATTATTTATTGCAAAAATTATTTCTCTCCCCTAAGTTTTACGAAATTAAATAATTAATTTTACGCAACGGGGATATACCCGATGTACATGTAGAATATAGAGATACGGGCTCGAGGTTTTGGCAATTAGTGCGGTATAATCAGCAGAGTATAAGCACATCAAGTGTGCCATATTACCACTTTCGGGTGGAACAGCCCTCCGCGCTTCCGCTTCTCTCAATTCTCTTCGTCGAGTATCCGTAGCACCAAATGCAAACACAAAACGAGCAAGGTCTATCCGTGCACTCGCGACGGTACCGAACGAGTTTATTGCGTCTGAGAATTTCGGGCACCCCGTGCGTTCGCGCGGCAACGTCGAGGGGTCCGAGAGATACCCGATGGGATCCCGGGCATCTCGGGCAGCACACTTCGCGTTCGATCGCACATGAAGGAAAACCTCGAGATTCCGCTTCCGGCACCGATTTTCGCGCGACACAGCACCGGACCGCGCGGCGGGGTGACCCGGGGCGACCCTTCCGCCCCCGGCACGGGGAAACGTTCGACGAGGAGTATTCGGAGGTGTTTTACGAAGCACAAAGGTCGCGCCGCGGCCGCACCGTCCCGCCCGTGCGTGGACACGCACGCGTGCGCGCGTGCATCGCGCGTGAAAGCGATCGGCGTATACGTCGCTCTGACACGACCGGAGCGGCGAGATCACGCACGCAGCATCACGCCGCGCTCTCTCTTCTCTAGGACCGCGGCTCCGGCCGGAGGACTCGTGCCGCCCGCGCCGCTCTTTCCGCTCCGCTTTTCGGTGCTTATCGATCCGGCCGTCTCTCCGTCTCTCCTACGCCTCTCGCGGCCGGCTCTCTCGCACACACCCCTCGCGCGACCCTCGCGCGGGCGAGAGACGTCGTCTCGCGATGCTCCCCGAGAGCTACCAGCGGCCGGCCCGTAGCCGCTTAACGTTAATCCCGACCCCTCGTACGCATCTCGCGCATCGAGGAAACGAGGACCCGTCGATACTCTGGACCCTGGACCCTCGACCGCGTCCTCCGCGGGGTGTTGTTCCGTCCGGAATCTGGACCTCGCGGCGGAGCGGAGCGCCGCGCACTCTCTCTCTTTCTTCTTCCCCCTTTCTCTTTCTCTCTCTCTCCGCGCGCGCGTGGAGCGTGGACCACACGGGGAGATTACGACCCGCGCGCGTTCTCGCGTCCTCGATCCGACGGGGTGAGACGGAAAGAGCGGAAGCAAGAGAGAGAGAGAGAGGGAGAGAGAAAGGATAAGAGATAGAGGAGGACACACACAGGGAGAGAAATAGGTGAAGGGATGAAGAGGTGGCGAACGATCGCCTTGCGATCGAAGACGTTAGCAACGTCGCGAGGCCTACCTCTTTTCGGTGCCCCCCAGCATCCAGGCACCTCGGCATCCTCTCTCTCTCCCTCTCTCTCTCTCTCTCTCTCTCTCTCTCTCTCTCTCTCTCTCTCTCGTGACGTGCCGCACGCGTGGTCATTCGTGAGCTCGCGAGCGCCGGGCGCGTCGATCGATCGGCCACGTTTTCATCCCGCCTTACAGCAACCCCAAGAGCGCGCGTTCTTTGCTCGCGAGAGCGGCTCCCTGCGTTACTCCCCGACAGCAACCCGCGTGTCACCCGGGTGACGACAGAATAGAGGTATCTTCCCCTCGACACAGACATGTATAATTTACAGGCAGGGATTTACTCGAGATCTAAAGCAACCAAAATGTATCTAAGGATAGGAGAGGGTACATATATATATATATAGCATTTGTAAGCACCATTTATAAGCGCCTGCATCGCGCGTGCTAATCTCTGGACTAACATCGCGTGTACTGTCTCAGTGGATTTAAATTTACACCTCACAAACGTGACGGATAAATAAAGTCGCGATATATATAATATATCGATCACGATCAAAATTAGACGCTACGATTTTTCCCGTCAAAATTTTTAACGCGATAGCACAGAAACATGATCGTGCATTTACATGACATTTTTTTAAGCACCACGTGCAAAGCCAAATAATTCTTTTTGATACAGAACCAAGTGCTGTAAGATTTCCCAAGGGAAGCTCGATCCTTTGCCTTTTTTTATTATATTGAATTTTTTAATACCGCGGGGTGGAAGGGACGAAGAGGTGAAAATTGCTTAGGAGACCGAAGATGGGTCGAGCAAGAGGAGAGCTATAAAGAGAAAGAGATATATACGAGAGAAGGGAATAAGGGTTCTCTGGGCCGATAACCGTGAGGAAGGGCACGGGCAAGAGAAATGATACGGCAAAAGGATAAGATGGGAATAGAAAGAAAAGGCGAAGGGAAGAAAATACGAGGGAATGCTCTCTCTTATTAACGGTCTGGGGCGATAGGTACCCCAGACTCACGAATGTGACAAACACGCATTGTCCTCCCCTCCTCAGTGCGTTATTTACTTTGCAATTTGTACGGCGATTGATCCGCGAGCGATGAATGTTACTCTTAATGAACGATAACCACAATCGAGTTACAGATTCAACTCTCATCCGAAAGTTTCGAGGGTGATCGTAATTTGACGTAACGACCTGGATCAAGGCGAATTAAATGGTAACAAACTGCGAATTAAATAATCTTAACAACAAATCTGAAATAATAAGAGAAAACAAGACTGTCATGATACACAATCAACTAGGAATAACAAGCCGTTTTCGGTCTAAGCTTAGATCTTAAGCAGCTCAAAATATTAATTTCCGATACATATATATATTCCGACTTATTACTGCGCGCCGATCACAATCGGACTTGAAACGCAACTATTGTTCAACTATTGTTGAAACATTAAAAACCCTTCTTTCCCCGGAATTAAATCGACGCGATTTTAATTATCTAAAAACTATAAAGAATTTATTGCAAAAAATATTACCTCAGCCAGGATTCGAACCGCCGAGGCATGTGGTAATATTTATCGCAATAACCGGTTAATAATAGTTTGAAACGTCTTTCTCATTGTCAGTCTCTCTTAATATTTGACATAGAATATTTTGATAATTGTATAAACGCGATTAAAATTCAACATATGAAAAGAGTAAATTAAATTCACTTGAGTTTAAATGGAGTTTAGTTGAATGGAATTAAGTGACTTTGCAAACATCAAGTGAACTTTAGCGTGTCACGCACACATACACAGCGTTTCCATACATATTGCAATATACAAGCACGATACGTAATAAGATGCAATGTTTATATCATTCCTTGTTATAACGCAAATCTCATAAAGTAGTTATTTAAAACTAGATAAAAATCTACGTGCATCATCATATTGCACGATAAAAAATGTTTTATTAAAAAGATTAACTATTACACACACACACACTCATATATGTATATATAAAATAGTTAATATAAGGAACGTGCCATATAAAAATGTAAAAAATTACATAAACCACAAATAAAATTATACAATTTGTTTATATTTCTATTATAAATTGTGTGACTTTTATACTCGCTGTTCATACAATTTTATACAGTGTATGCTGAGATAAAGCACTGTAAAAAGAAAGTAAAATTATACGAATAACAAGAGTAAAATCACGCGAAATATGCACCCGTTATGAATCGTATGATTTGTACGCTTGTTGTTAAATATAATTTAATTTTTTTAACAGTACATGCTGAAATAAAGCCTCTTTAAGCCTAGAAATAATCTGAGTTATATTTTTTTCGCGAAAGGGGCTCGCTTTCAGACCTGATAAAGACCCGCAACGCGCGCCGTTAAACCCGTATCGCTCTTTTGCACCGTCGAAGCAGCGGTACGTCCGCGACTCCGTGTGCACGTTTATCGTCCGCAGCTCGTAATCGTGCGATACGTAATAATTCCGGGTTGATATCCTGAGAAATTCCACCGAGGTATAAATAGTGGGCCGCGGAGCAGGCTCTCGGTGAAAGGAGTAAGGGCATATCACGCTCTGGCGAGCTTATTCTTTTCCCGTTTCGCGATCGCCGATCGTTATACACGTCGGCGAGTTATATAGGGTGTTATAAAACCGTTGGACATTTCATCTATACGCTATAAAAAAAAAGTATGTAAAATTACGAGAGAACGACACGTGTAAAAATCGTACAATTTGTAACGCAAGCATATTACATTTCCGTTATATATCGTGTGATTTTTATATACTTGTGTAATTACGTAATTTTACACCTTTTTTTACGGCTCATATTCCTTGCCCGACACGAAGTGGATATTTCTTTCGGGAAAACACGTATATGCGAGTAAGTGTGACGCAACAAAAATATTCGAAATTGATTTTTCGTATCTCCAGTAGATCTCTCGTATTTCAATAGAGTCTCAATTTAAGACTCACAGGTGCGAAAACACGTGCGTTGCAAATTGAAAAGCTGACGTAAGTAATGACCTCCCATTCTTTCCTCACGACTTTCTCTTAGAATTTTTCTGCGAATTGTTACGCCGGCCCTGAACGCGAGCTGATAAGCGCACGAGGAAGTGAAATTTATAGCGAAAAGAAAATGCAGTTAACGTATGCACTGCGCAAAAAAATTAGTAAAACGAAAAATATTTTGATAATTGACGTTCGTGATATCTCGCCAAAGAGAGAAAAGCGAGATGCGATAAGGATATTTCGGTGTATTATTACATCCGTGTATCATCAAACAGTTATATATAATTATGCAATTATCCAGTTATTAGATGCAATATTGGATGCCACACCTTTATCATGTTACTGTTTAATGATCGGTTGATCAACTTGGCATCGATTTTATCTTTGCGAAAGTGTGAGAGATTATCGCTTTTCGCAATTTATTTTTAACTGCACTGTATATCTTCGTAACACAATGAGCCTTAAATTCACAAATTCTGTGAAAAGTCTAATTGAAATTAATTAAGGAGTATAATCTTGTTATTTATTCGCAAACTTAGTACACATGAAAGGGTTCTTATTTTGAACCATTAGTTACTGTTGGACCGTTGACGCTTGATCACCTATTGTGTAAGGTGTTTCAAGTTTCCCATGTCTGCTTTCACGTACTGATTATCGCAACAATTTGATGTAAGGTCCTCTTCTCATAAATGAACATGAGTTTATGAAACTCGGCGAAAATTTCAAGTCGCTGACATTCTTGGAAAAATTTCTCTTTGTTTAAACTTACTTTATTTTGCAATATAAAAAACAGACTTGTATGTTTCTCTCGTACTCTACGACGTTTAGTATCCTCCTTTAAAAAAAAATTTATCGGAAAATAAGATCCGTTTTTACCAGAGTTATATATAAAATTCGATTGGATCTGAGCGACCCAGCTTGTTGAGATATCCACGGATACAGAAAAATGTCTGTAGTTCTAGGATTAAAAATATTTTTGAAGGTTAAAGTGTGGATTTTGATAAATTTTACGCCTAATTTGCAGTAATTATTTATGGAACTTATTATTCAAATTTCAAAATCCTAGATCCGTAGTTCCCCGAAGAAACTTAATCTTTTCCAGAAAATCAAGTTTTAATCTCAGCTTCCTTCAGGTTTTTTTCCCCTTATATTTCTCTTATATTCCTCTAATAACCATAAATATTCTCCAGCCACTCTTGCGAAAGAGTTCACATTTTGAAACGACTTACAGTAGGATAGGAAAGGATTTTTTAAGTATTTAAATCATAGGACTCTTATTATATACTAGCTGTATTAATTTTTATTATTAAGGCCGATTCAGTGTTTTTACTTGTTTCCCTCTCCAAGATTTTTAGATGTCTTGAAAAATTTTTTATCTCATTCTTTTTCTTTGACTGACTCGAATAACCGTTCCTGACTCTACATGTTTTCGCCAGACGACGTCACGCAGGTCTTTTTTTTATTACGTCACGCTCGTCTCGCCGTGATCTCTTTTCTTACGCGTATGTGTTTTTCTTATCTCTGGTTTTCCGCGCTCTATCTCATCTCTGGGAACGTTGCGCCGCAACACTCGCACGCTCAATATGCGCAAGATGAAACGGGAATAAGAGCACATGTGGCTTCCACAAAGTTCGGCATGGTTCGTCGCTCGTAAATTTGATCATGTATAACATTTTATTATATATTATAATCTGATTGTATTTTAACGTATCTCGTAGTCCTGTTATATTTTTATCACATATTATAATCTGATTGTATTTTAATGTATCTCGTAATCCTGTTATATTTTTATCACATATCATAATCTAGTTATAGCATCTCATCATGTCTTTAATTTGATTGTATTTTATTATATACATGTGATAGTTTGATTATATTCTGCTATATATCGTATATAGGTCAATTATATATTTTATTATAAAGTATTATAAAATGGTTTTTTCTTTTTTCAAGGCAGATTACTTAAGATATCGAATTGGTATATATCTCTAGCAATTAATAGATTCGAGAATGCAAATGCTTTCCGTTCCATACTAAACGTGACGTCGGGAATTTTCCGAAATAGGTGCGAGGTAACGGGACATCCTACAACCGTTTTCTCTCAGATACTCTCAGCGAGTAAATTATTGCAGCTTGGCCAAGCCAAGCAAGTTTATCGACTGCAATATCACACGGCTTCGTCCTGCGCCGTGTTTGCCGCATCGGATATCTCATTGCAGCCTCGATGAAACTGTAGATCTCTCTCTCTCTCTCTCTCCCTCTCTGTCGTGTACAAATCCCTTATTCACAATACCGTGGTACGTGATTTTCTCGTTATCGATCCGCTCCTTTCACCTTATCCCCGTTGTTTTCTTTTCTCCCTTTGCACCTTCGTGCGACACGATAATGGATTTTTCCTCTCCCGGCGCGGGGAACGACAATTAAAGTCGCGAGTTTCTGAGCCGCGTATTAGTTTTAAGCGGAAATATATGTGTCAAGTACATGTAACAGCGGCGCGATGCGATCAATACCCTTTCTGTACAGGGTAAATTCCTGTATTTAAAATCGCGCCAGCGAGCGATATACCAATGGCAAAACACGCCGGCGGTCCTCAGCCCGGCGGCAATTGATTATTTTCGCGATACGAGAACGAGGAAGAGGCGCCTCCGCGCATCGTCGACGCTTCGAGATAGTTTTGACGTCATTTTGCGGGGAAATTACGTGATAAACGAGTTTTTTTCGCAGTTATAATAAAAAAAGATTTATCCGCTATTCGATATCTTTCGATTAATTCGTAATCTTACGGACGTGGTGAGAGATATATTTTACAATTGATCTGCATTTCGAGGATTCTTTTCGATACACTGTTTTCAAATCATTTAAATATAATGCGTACTTTCACATAAATGCGTTTATTTGCCGAGGCAGATATTTTTTTTTTTTCGAAATCCTCTTCGCGGTAAAGAATAATGAAGTGAAATCCGAACATCACGCAACTAAAGCGAGCGTTATACGTATTTGCTACGATAATAAAACCATTATGACATATTGCTGATAATGCCGATAAGGATATCAGGAAGAGGAGGGCCTCATGAAATATTACAACACAGTGTTGTGTCTTTGGATTTTCAATATTGTACTATAAACGTAACCTAAGGCGAACCGAAAGAGATTATATATTGCACATAAATATAACATATAATTTTTGCCTTTTTTATAATAAATGTGACACGTTACTAAAAATATCGCTTAAAGCTTAATTAATACAGTATTGTACTATTTAATATATTATTTCACAATACTAGCTACAAAAAAGACCGTTAATTAATTAAATTCTGTGGTTCATGTGACATGTGACGATGTGCTAAAAAAAAAGGTGAAACATTTTTCAGTTGATTTTTTGTAATTTGTTAATCTTAGGCGAACGTGTGAGAAAGGAACTATTCGATACTTAGGCATTCTATTTGATGAATAAGCATTTTAAGAAGTGTAAAGAGAGTTTTATGACATCGGCGGTTACGATTGCAACGCGTAAATAATCGACGATATCTTGAACGCGCTCAAGAATAATGAAATTATCTTACAAAGAAATAAAACTGTTATCGTATGCAAACATACAATGCAAATTCAGGCGACGCTGAGTAAATAAGAGTAAATAATATATAAAAAAAAAAGAACGCAAAATCGGATAGAAAAAAATAAACCTTAACTTTGATAATATCGTAAATATTTGTACCATTATCCACGCGTTGCTCAGATCTTGCCGGAGAAATATCGTGCAAACAAAACTAGCGATAAGGACAAAGAAGAGAGTTGATGTGCTTGCGATCGTGTAATTAAACAGACTACTACGTTTTCAATAACAATCCGGCTTTAACTCTATATATTATAGAACGCATCTCGGATGCGTCGATGTCATACTTTGGGACACGTCCGTCTGAGATTCAAATGTTATGATGATTTATTTCGCTTCGGCATCGTACCGTTTTCACGCTAAGATACCTGCGTCGAACCCAATGTTCCTCAACACTTTCTCTTCTCTCTCCCGTCTCATAGAAAAGTCAGACCTTACGTAACTTTACTGCGGAATGTATACACTATACACCATACCATAGATTAAAAAATACAGCTTGCTGCTTGCCCCGACAGTTGCACAGTTTCAGCGAAAGTTAATAAGAAGTGAAATAATGCGCGTTTAAAGAACTATGATCTCCCTCTTTTTCTCTCTCGCGGAATGTACGTTTGATTGGTCATTAGCTCTCGTTAATGCGCCCACCTTTCTCCCCCTCCCTCCATCCCATCTCGTCTGCCTTCCTACTTGCAACACGCAACTCGTCACAATCTCTCATCTACTAGTAAAACGCGCATATAAATACAACATCATCGTTTCCAATACATACGATTACTTAACCCTCTCCCCTCCGTCCCTATTAGATAGATATACATGTATTGAGAAAAACGGAACTCGTGGTTGCACATCACATTACTAAGAGCACTTAAACCACGCAACACTTAACTGCGTTATAAAAATACGCAATATTATTAAAATAAAATAATTATTCATAGTTCTTAATTCGGTTAACTGCGTTTACTTGACGAAAGTTTTGTTATAGCCTTGCACGTTATCACAGAGTACGATAGTTGCCTTCTTTGCACTGCCTGTAGAACTTCCACGAAAACGCAGCAATCGCCATCAGACATGTAGTAAGGACAATGCCACCTGAAAGATATAACAGAAAGATATACACTATTTCGATATTTGACAATAAACATTTGCTACATTAACGAATGAAACACAGCAAAAAGTTCACGATAAAAGAAAATTATCTAAAAGAATTTTTTTTATAATACTTATATAATGTGCGCTATTTTAATTATTTTAATACACAATTTCTTTACGGATTTTTTACTTTATCGCCTATTGATGTTAATCAATCTATAGAAACGACCTAGCAGAATAACATTACGTACCAAAGAAGCTTAGACCATCAAACTGGCGATCCTTAGATGCAGGGGGTACAGCTGTTGTCTTCGATGCATCCGTGGTACCGGGTACAGCTGTAGAAGAGGGTGGAGATGTAGGAATATGACTTGTTGTTGGTGACGTCGGTGTAGTTGTGGATGTAGTTGTAGTAGTAGTGTTACTAGTGGTAGGCTTGGGATCAGGTACAGCCGTAGTAGGTGTAGTAGTAGGTTTAGTAGTGATAGGTAGAGTAGGAGGTTTAGTAGTGGTAGTTGTAGGAGAAGATGTAGTAATATTAGGATTCTGAGTGGTTTTATTGTTTGATGGATCAGCAGGCTCAGCAGTTGTCGCATCAGTGATGGTCTTTGATACCGCTGCAAGATTTGGCGGAACGATAGATTTAGGTGGTTGTGTCGGTCCAGACTTTGCCTCTATACCTGAATGCATGAAGAACCCATATATTATTTCTTTTAACACAGATAAAGATTTTATACATTTCGAACATAAGTCAACTCATTTTTCCTGACTCTCAATAAAGTAAAAAAAAGTATATTCAAAACTCCATTTACATTTCTATTTATAATGAGCTAATATTTCTTTACACATCATACATAAGTAAAATAAATATGAAGTAAAATAAATAATTTATTTAAAATGTTTCCTAAATTAATAAAATATTCGTATTTAAAAGTACAAAGCAAAGATAAAATTCGCATCAAATTTCATTCTGCGATGATATTAAGATTTCTTCAGACGTTATCTTTTGCGATTTCAAACGTTAAATAATTTCTACTGAATTTTTCTACGCTTTCGGATAATCTCGGGCGTCGAGTTGATATCTTTCCGTTTCTCGCGGACGCGCGTGAAAATATAAGAATGCGTATATCAAGACGGGAGCAAAATGTATATCTTTTCGCGGTAAACTTTCAACCGCTGCAGTATCGCGGTTTAGTACGTGTATCGTTCGCCGGCTGTTTTTGCGTTTTGCATCCATTGTAGAATAGGCTTTATCTAGCTGTAAAGTCGACTGTCGACTCGCGTTTTGTGGTCGGTCGGCGAGCTCGATCGTGTTCGGACGTGTTTTGTCCGGAAGAAAAATTTTTTTTTGAAAGTATTGCGACTGTTACTTGTTACTGTCTGCATTGTTTAACTATCAGTACCTCGTATCGGCGCCTATCGAGGCCTACAACCTTTGTAATTACGCCGCTTGCGGCTTATACGACTAGCGGATCGCCCTGGCCGTTTTCAGAGCAGCACTGCTCCCATTACATAGGAAGAAGAAAAGAAGATCGTTCGCCGGGGGGCGACCGCGCGGATGTGTGCTGCTGACGAAGCATTAAAGTCGTCGCGCGTGTGATCGTTATCGTTCATCGTAGCCAAGATTCGGCCGGCGGTGGTCGGCGAAAGAGATCAATAGCAATCTGCTCGAGACGACCACCACCACCACCGCCGTCGTCGTCGCCTAACGAAGGTCGAAACGCGCGTAAGAGACATACTACACGTTGTACACCGGACCGCTGTGCAACGGATCGATGTTTTTCTTCTCAGTCTTTTATCTTCCTGGATTTCCCGCGCGCGAAACGTCTCGCGCGTGAGACGCGGAATACGCGAGTTCGTGAATAAATTTCGCGAACGTCGCTCTCGGAGAGAAACTCCAGTCTCGGGGCCCAGGAGCCGCTATCGGGTAATTCGACGCGGGTAGGCGTCACATGGAACGCAGAACTCAGCTGCCTTCGGACCGCTATCGTGCGCTTATCACCGTTATTACGTACGCATGAGCGGCGGGCACTTCGGCGACGCGCGCTACGCGCCAAAATATCGAGATCTAGCTTAACTCACCGTTTTCGGCCAGCACCAGCCTGGTGGTGCCGATCGCGACGCTCAGCAACGCGCAGATCACGTAAGCCGGCTTCATTTTGGCTCTCGAAAGTTTTGGGGTATCGGGAGCTCCTCCGCGGGGTTCCTCCTCGTGCTCCTCGAAACGTTGCGCACAGACGACGGAGAACAGACGACGCACGACGCAAACTACCGCCGAACTGGAACGAGTGCCTCTGGCCTCTGGTGAACTCGCAGCCGACCTGCAGCACAGTGCCTGCAGCGACCAGCAACGACCGCGTGCAGTGCGTGAAGACTGTGAAGATGGCGACTGGCGACGGTAACGGCGCAGTTGCCAGATTGTCCGGACTGAATAATCCCTAGAACATGGTGGACCACGATTGCAAGTTCGTTCGTTTTACGTGCACTTTCTGCATTTGAATTTTTCGCTAATTTTCTCTCCTACGCTCGAATATACGTCCATCTCGTTTCAGAGGATCGCGTGTGATTTTGAGACGAGGTGAAAATTGAGAAGTGAGGAAATTCAAATCTACGATTTCATTTATGAAAATCTAATAGATCTATTCACTTTTGCGATCTTTCATCAATCCGATCAATCGATCCTCAGATGCGGAAAACACTAGAAGTGCAAGAATAAGGTGCACCGTATAATTCCGTTCGTTTAGTTTTTAGTTGCATTCCCTAGAACTGAAAATTTGAGTGGGAGAGGGAGAAGCTTGCGCAAATCGAGAACGGACCTATTGCGTAACTTGAGTACAATATCCTGGACAAATTGAGGGATGAAAAGGGGATCGAAAAGCATGCCATATGTTACGCGAAATGTTTCGTGCAATTTTTTCCACTTTAGCCTTTTTGTGTTAAAAAAGCAGCTTAAAAATATTTTATGGAAAATGTATATTTTTATGTTCTCTTTATATATTTTATATGTTAGCGGCAACCTTGCCAACGTCTTATCTCTGTTCTTCATACTCATTGTATTTAACTTTTCTGTTGTGAATTTTGTACATACGTACGCCATAAAAATATCATTATTACATCATTTACATGATTTCAAATAAAAATACATTAATTTGACCTAAATTCTAGCGACGTCAGTCTGCTTTCCGCGATCTATCCGAAAGACATATATTTCTCAAATTTGATAAAGCTAGAATTCTGTTTGAAAGATATATTTTTCAAATTAAAAAAAAAACCGTGAAATAAGTGATCCTCTTTACGTATAAAATCGAAAGTAACGATCGTATTCCGAATGACCGTTCCAGAACGAGTTTCCCGCAACCCTATTCAGTACGTCGCCGATCTGCTCGACTACCCCGGACCCCCGCTCTCTTGTCGGCGGTTACAGGAGAGTGGTGCCCCCTAGAACCTCCGGGTGGCGGGGGAAACCGGGGACGGCAACGGTCGGGAATGCCGATGATGCGCGCTGCTCAGGCGCTCGCGGGTTCAGTGCTGGTGCTCGATGCGAGGCGAGTGCGCGCGCGACGGTGCAGCACGAGTGCTCGCGCTCGTACGGGACTGTTTTCGTTGATATCGTCGAAGAGCGTTCTGGCCACCGTCTCGTGCACAATCGTAATACGATCCGGGGGTTGATTTTGTGACGAGGTGAAAGAACGGGAAATTCGCGCGCTTCGATATCTCGCGGAATCGTACATACCCGATAGAAGGATTGAAAAAAAGGAGTATCTTTATTTGTGAGCCGCGAAAGAGAAAAGAGGAGTATTTTTATTTGTGAGGGCCGCGCGGGACGACGGCCGATCTACACGGGGGTGGTTGACGAGGGCTCGCGGAAGCGCGGGCGAACGGTGCGGCGTTCCGGGGTGGCTGCAGCGGGGTGGCTCGCGACTGGTGGCCAACCCGCGGATAAAGGGCGAGGGAAATGGGCCGCTCCGCGTTTGATACGTGATACGAGGTGCGTGAGCGTGCGCGCGCGCGCGCGCGCGTGTGTGTTCTCTTTCCCTCTTATTCCGTGGAGCAGCCCCGCGCGTGTGTATGTGGCGTGCGTGCGTGTGTCGTCGTCGTCGGCCTCCACGTCCTCCCCGTTGTTGTTGTCGTCGTCGTCGCCGTCGTGCCGAGCCGAGCCGCGAGTCTGTGTGCCGCCCGTATCACGCGTGTGCGTTGCGTGAATGAAAAAGGAAGAAGGGGGAGGGCCGCTCGTTACCCCAAGATTGCCGAAGCGAGCGTCGTTGTGGTGACCGTCGTCGCCGTTGCCGTCGTCGCCGTCGCCGCCGTTGCCCCGCGACGTTGACGTCAAGAGCAAAAGGGGCGGGCTGCTCTTCGTGAAAATGCGGCGCGATATGACGACGGTGAGGGGTGGTGTCGTCGCGACAACGACGACAACGGCGGCGGCGACGATGTCGTTGACAGCGTCATTGTGGTTGACAACATCATCGAGAGGATCCTCGACCGCGTTGTCACCGATGTCGACGTCGACGTCGACGGTGACAACGGTGAGCGCGACCACCCCGTTCCGTCGCCCGTTCGCGGTGACGCTATCGCTGTTGCTGCTGATGTCGATGCACCCTGGCCCGGCCGCGGCCGCCTGCCGGTGGACCAACGAGGCTGGCAACGACACCCGTTCGGCGGACTGCGCCCTTCGCGTCCTGGATCCTACGGCAATCGTCACTCTGGCACCGTCCCTCGACGGCGCTCTCAAGCTACGGATACGCTGCAGCGATGTACATCACTTCGAGAGCAGCTTCAACGCGCAAAGCTGGCAGCGGCTGGCTGGCTTGCACGAGTTGCACGTGCACGGTTGCAAGGTGCTGCGTATCCCGGAGGATGCGTTTCAACCGCTGCCGGATCTCAAGCGGCTCGTCGTGCAAACGTTCAATGCCGCTTGGGGTGCCGCCAGGTATCTGGAATTCGCGCCGAGCTCGCTCCGCGGCCTACGCGAGCTTCACACGCTGGAGATCGTCGAGAGCAACGTGCTAGCGCTGCCGCCCAGGCTGCTCTGCGAGCTGGACAACCTGCAGACCCTCAATCTCACCGGCAATCGTATACGGGACGTCGACGACATCGGGCTGACGGTGCGCGCCGACGTCAACGGCGGATCCTGCCGCGCGGATATCCGAATCCTGGATCTGTCGCGCAACGAATTACGGCAATTATTCGACGACGGTCCGCTGGTGGGCTTACGGCAGCTGCAAGAGTTACACCTGCAGCGCAATGCGATTACCGAGATCGGCAAGAATGCTCTGCACGGACTCACCGTACTGCGTACGTTTAACGCCAGCCATAACGCCTTGGACTCGTTACCCGAGGATTTGTTCAAAACCACGCGCGACCTGCGGGAGATACACCTGGCGCACAATGGCCTGCGAGATCTGCCGCGGGGCGTGTTCACCCAGCTGGAGCAGCTGCTGGTCCTAAATCTCGCCAACAACCGGCTCGGCAGCGATCAAGTTGACGAGACCACTTTTCTCGGTCTGATCCGCTTGATCGTGCTCGACCTCTCGTACAACCAGCTGACGCACATCGACGCGCGTATGTTCAAGGACCTGTTCTTCCTGCAGATCCTCGATCTACGCAACAATTCGATCGATCGTATCGAGAGCAATGCCTTCCTGCCGCTCTACAATCTCCATACGCTCGAACTTTCCGACAACAAACTGCACACTATCGGAGCGCAGCTCTTCAACGGTCTGTTTGTGCTAAATCGTCTGACCATGTCCGGGAACTCGATTTCAAGCATCGACGCGATGGCGTTTCGCAACTGTTCCGATCTCAAGGAACTGGATCTCAGCGGCAACGAGCTCACCGCCGTGCCGGACGCGTTACGTGACCTCGCCTTCCTCAAGACCCTCGACCTGGGCGAGAACCACATCAGCGAGTTCCACAACGGTTCCTTCCGTAATCTACATCAGCTCACTGGCCTACGTCTAATCGGCAACGACGTCGGCAATCTGACGCACGGTATGCTCTGGGACCTGCCGAATTTGCAGATACTCAATCTGGCCCGGAATAAAGTGCAACACGTGGAAAGGCACGCGTTCGATCGTAATATCAAGTTGGAGGCCATTCGCTTGGATGGCAATTTTTTGTCGGACATCAACGGTGTATTTACCAGCATCACCAGTCTCCTGCTGCTGAATTTATCGGAAAATCACATAGAATGGTTCGATTATGCCTTCATACCTGTTAATCTCAAATGGCTCGACATTCACGGCAACTTTATCGAAAGTCTCGGTAACTATTACAAAATTCGCGACTCCAAGGTGAAGACTTTGGACGCCAGTCACAATCGCGTCACCGAGCTCTCGCCGTTGTCCGTGCCGGATAGCGTGGAGCTATTGTTTATCAACAATAACTATATCACCACCGTGCGGTCGAATACGTTCGCTGACAAAGTAAATCTCACCCGGGTTGACATGTACGCGAACATGATCGAGACGATGGAATTGACGTCGCTGCTGCTGACCAAGGTGCCGGAAAACAAACCGCTGCCGGAGTTCTACATCGGCGGCAACCCCTTCAATTGCAACTGCTCGATGGACTGGCTGCCGGCCATCAATAACCAAACCTCGACGAGGGAATATCCACGCGTCATGGATCTTGACAATGCCATGTGCCGTACCTCCGGGCCGCGGGGAGTCGCCATCGTTCCTGCCTCGACCGCACGCTCGGAGCAATTCCTCTGCCGTTACGAGGCGCATTGTTTTGCTCTCTGCCATTGCTGCGACTTCGACGCCTGCGACTGCGAGATGACCTGTCCGGCCGGCTGCAAGTGTTACAATGACCGTACGTGGAACACCAACGCAGTCGATTGCTCGGGTCTCGGGGTCGAAGAAATCCCGCGTAGGATACCGATGGACGCGACCGAGGTCTATCTTGACGGGAACGTGTTGCGGGAGTTGCAGAACCACGTGTTTATCGGCCGGAAAAACATGCGCGTGCTATACGTGAACGCCAGTGGCATCGAGTCTATTCAGAATCGCACCTTCAACGGTCTCAACAACTTGCAGATCCTGCATCTCGAGGACAATCGGATACGTGAACTCAAAGGTTTCGAGTTTGAGCGATTGTCGCACCTGCGCGAGCTTTATTTGCAGAACAACGTGATCGGCTTCATCGGTAATTTGACCTTCCTGCCGCTACGCTCGCTCGAGATCCTCAGATTGCACGGCAATCGGTTGGTAACCTTCCCAGTGTGGCAAGTCACCTTGAACGCTCGATTGGTCGAACTGTCGCTCGGTGGCAACCCGTGGTCGTGTCGATGTAAGTTTTTGCAGGAATTATCTTCGTGGGTGTCGGACAATGCGCACAAGGTTATTGACGCTGGCGACGTATGGTGTTACTATGGCGGTGACGCCAGGCCATCTTATCGGCGTCGTTTAAATGTCAACGAGACTGCCTGCTCGGACTATTTTGCTCAAGGCGGTGTCATCGAGAGTATCATGGTGTCGGACTATTTGCCGTTGGTAGCTGCTACTCTCTCGGCTATTATCGTTCTCTTGGTGATCATAGTACTCGCTTTCGTGTTCCGCGAACCGGTCGGTGCCTGGGCCTACTCCAAGTACGGGTTGCGATTCTTGCGTACGAAATCGGGCAAGGCTGCGACGACGGCGAGCATGGGTCCCGCGGCCGCGATGAGCGCGGGTTGCTGCGACGCCGATCGCGATCGTCTCTACGATTGTTACGTGTGTTACAGTCCGAATGACGAGGACTTTGTCTTGCACTCGTTGGCGGTCGAACTAGAACACGGCGCGGCCGGTCTAAGACTCTGCCTTCATCATCGGGACTTGCCTTGCGTGTTGCGCGCCTCCGCGCCCGCACCGGCCGTCCTCGAGGCGGTGGACGCGTCGCGACGCGTGCTGATCGTGCTTACCCGTGATTTCCTTCAAACCGAATGGTCGCGCTTCGAGTTTCGCGCAGCGCTGCACGAGGCATTACGCGGTCGTGCCTCCCAGCTGATCGTCATCCAAGCCGGCCACGTTGGCGCCGAGGTCGAACGCGATCCCGAGCTGCGGCCTTATCTGAGAACGGCGGCGCTCATACTCACATGGGGCGAGAAGAGGTTCTGGGAACGATTGAGATACGCCATACCGTCGTCCACGACAACTGCGATCATTGCTGCTAGTACTACCACCACTACCACCGCTGTCGGTGACATATCTATCGAGAGCAAATCCTCGCCGTTGGTCTACAAACGCAATATCAACACCTACACGCTGGACGGCGGTGTCGGCGGCGTCGGCGGTCTCGAGAAAACCGGGATGTCGACGCTGCGTGGCGGCCAACGCGCCGCGCTCTTTAAAGACGCCTCGTCGGCGCTGATGCTGCAACACGCTCCGCCCGCTTATTCGTGCGGCGGTGGCCCGCTTCCCCCGATGCTGCCGCAGCAACAGCAACAACAGCAGCCGCAGCCGCCGCCGCCATCGTCGTCGCCAGCGCAGCCCAGGTTAACCGTCAATCACGCTTACCGGGACGCGGTGCCGGCCAATAATCTCGTCACGACCACTGTCGCCACCACCAACACCGCCAACTGCGGCGTTGGCGAGGACCACAGGAGACCGCTGTCCGAGCACATCTACTCGTCCATCGACTCGGACTACTCCACCCTCGAGAGGACCGCCTGGAGACAGCAGCAACTGCCACCCCCGCCGCCCCCACCCACCTCCGGACAGGCCTACCTGGTTTAGCTCCCTGCGACTGACCCCGATATCCCCGCGTACCCATGGGATCGTGGTGCCGTCGACCCAACTGCGATAACGACGAGCGGCGGTAGTAGCTCGTTCCCAAAAGGTTGTGCTTGGTCCCGTGCTCGTCCACGTGACGCACGGTCGGTGACTTCGATAGACTGTGATTTTTCGAAGACGTTGCGCGCGTGCAGAGCCACGGACCCCCGCGAGATTCGTGTACATAGTTCAGAGACGTCGCACAGTGGGAAATTCCGTGCTGTTTTTGGACAAAATTCTTGTGACAGCACAATTTTTAAGATATCCCGTTGATTTTTTTTTTAAAATGCTCAGGAAGACTTGTGCATTAATGCAGTACTGCGGAAATATATTTGTTGCACAACGAAAATTGTTAAACATAGAGTGCAATCCAGTAAATATGAAATTTATGCAAAAAACGGTAATCCCTTCATAAACACAAGCTTCTAGGGTATAGTTTAACCGAGATGGATATCATTTTAACTATGTTTCAAGTCGCTGATAACAAATTCAAGCTTTAAATTTCAAAATTAATTTGTTTAAACAAATTATCTCAAAGTAAGATGTTTTATAAATTTTTATTTCAAAATCTGTGGATACAATTACATACAAAAATATAGTAGGCCTTCAAAGTAATATCTTTTAGATCCAAATTGTTAATAATAATTTACGATTATTTTTTTAACCTAAAGTATAATATCTCCTATATCTTTATTTAAAGGAATTAACGGAAGATTATCAAGCAAAATAAATATAATTTTCATGATTTTTGAGAGCTGATTACGAATTCGACCTCAGAATTGCAAAATTAATTTGTTTAAACAAATTTATTTAAACAAATTATCTGAAAATAATATTAAATATATAAAATTATACAAGTTATACAAAAATTATACAAATATATATTTATTGTGTAATACTAAATA